CTTTGGCTTTGGTTTTTGCATTGGCTGTCGCCTCATTTTGGGTGGCCAGAACTCAAAATGCTTTCCGTATGGAAGCAGCCCCGGCACATTCATCAAATTTCCAAATGCGTTGAGACATTTTCGAAAATAAGTACAAATTCAAATACAGCTTTCAAAATGTTGTTGTCGCTGTCAGCGCAGCGTTGAATGGACAGCAGCAGCTGTCGTTAGTTTGTAATTAAAAACTTGAGAAATACATCTTGCAACTAGTGCGCCAGCAATAGATATAGATACAGATACAAATACAGCCACAGCTACAGCTACAGCCAAAGATACAGCTACACAGACAGCTAGAGATATGAATATTTGAATGCTTGGCACTTGGCTGTTTTGAAATTCACTCCTCTTAGCTGCACATTTGCCGTTATAAATTGCTTTTGACGTTCTGATTTTTATGGACTTTTTGCCTGGGCAGCCCGTGCACAAGTATCTATATCGCTAAAGCCCATTTCGGCCTTTCGCCCAGACATTTGTGTTAGCTGCGGCCGCTTAATGGGTTAATTAGAGAATGAGCTGCTGTAATGAATGCTATTTGGCAGCCTTTTAAAACGAATTTCCCTCGCCTCTTCTTCCATTTCGCCAGCTGCTCGAGAAGCGCATCGAGAAGTTCACGGAGAGCACGCGGCAGCAGCTGCTCATTAGCAATCCCGAGAGCGAATCGTATGTGAAGGACGAGCTGCGCAAGCTCAACGACAAATGGCAAAGCTTCAAGGATCAAGTAAGGCAGAAACGAAAGAGCCTCAATCAGGCCAACGACTTCTTCGAGGTGGTCGAGAAGGTAAGTTGATAGTCAGTCAAGGCATGCCCCCAGTCAAATTTCCACTCACATAATTCTCTCACTTGCAGATCGATGCCGAGTACCGGGAGATCAGCTACTTCTATAATAGCGTCTCCAACAAGGTGCCCTACTTGCGCGACGCCGTCGAGGCCTCGAATCTGGTGAATGACATTGAGAAGTATGTGACCAGTCGAGAGCCGGCGCTGCGTGCCAAGCTGGACAGCGCTGCGCAGTGCGCGCACGATATGAACAAGGTGTCGACGCTCTACAACGACGTGATGAACATCTTCCAGTCGTTCATCAAGCTGAAGACGGACATCAATACCGTGCAGGAGCGCCTCAAGCAGGAGCAGCGTCAGCGCGAGCAGCGGGAGCAGGAGGCACGCGATCAGGCCGAGCGCGAGAAAGCGATTCGTGAGGCAGAGGCCAGAGAGCGTTTGGCGCGCGAGGAGCAGGCGCGCCTGGAGGCGCAACGTCAGCAGGCGGCCATTGAGCAGGCGCAGCGCGAGCTGGCGGCTAGGCAACTGTCGCTGCGCGAGCAGGCGGTGCGCGAGGAGGAGGCACGACTGCAGGCAGTGCGTGAGCAGGCGGCCAGGGAGCAGCTGGCCAGGGAGCAGGCAGCGCGCGAGGAGGAGCAGCGCATCCAAACGCTGCGCGAGATAGCCAAGCGGGAGGAGGAGCTGCGCTTGCAGGCGCTGCGCGATGAGGAGGCGCGCTTGCATAACAAGCGCGAGGAGGAGTTGAGAGTGAAGCGCGAGGAGGAGATACGGCTGCGGCGCGAAGAGGAGTCCAGGCTGCAGCGCGAGGAGGAGGCCAGGCAGAAGCGAGAGAACGAGTCGCGCATTCAGCGAGAGGAGATCACGCGGCTGCAGACGCTACGAGATCAGGTCGACCAGCAGCGCATCGTGACGGAGAACATACGCAAGGATATTCAGGTGAACCAGATCTTCACGGAGCTGCGCTACGCCTCGCCGCTGTTCGTGCGCCCGCTGAAGGATGCGCTGGCCCGCGAGGGCGAGCGCTTCGTCTTCGARTGCGAGGTCACGGGCACRCCGGAGCCGAGCGTCGAGTGGTTCAAGGACGGCATCAGCATTCAGAGCAATGCGGACTACAAGACCAGCTTCGACAAGGGCATCTGCCGTCTGGTCATCGAGGAGACCTTTGCCGCGGACACGGCTCGCTTCAGCTGCCGCGCCTCCAACCTGGTGGGCACCTGCGACACCAATGCCACGCTGACGGTGCGCGAGAATGCCGCCGAGCTGCAGCTGGTGCCGCCGCGCATCCTGCGCTTCCTGGAGAGCGGCAAGGCCACCGAGGGCACCGCCTTCCAGTTCTCCTGCGTGGTCAGTGGCGTCCCTCTGCCCACCGTGCAGTGGTTCAAGAACGACAAGTGCATCGACGACTCGCCGGACTACGTGATCAGCTACAACAATGGCGAGGCCACGTTGCGGTTCGACGAGGTGTTCCTCGAGGACGACGCCGTCTACACCTGTAGCGCCTCGAATCCCGCCGGAATCGAGCACTGCTCGGCCAGTTTGATCGTAGAACGTAAGTGGGGAACATAGTAAACATTCACAGTTCGGCTCAAATGAACTCAGAATCTCGTTTTCGCAGCACTCGAACCCACTGAGCTGCCCTGCTTCAAGATGCCGCTGCAGAACGCCATGGCGCGTGTTGGACAGAAGATCAAGATGGAGGCCTTGGTCACTGGCATACCGCAGCCCGAAATCTGCTGGCTCCACAATGGCAAACCATTTCAGCCACGCGACTCAAAAGTGAGTACAAACCGTTGATGACATTTGGGGAAAATTCTACTAGTCAGAAAGGAAAATTTTCACGAAATTCCCAGAGCGAAACTTTAAATACTCTCACCAAAAATATTGACAGCTGGCGAAGTGGGTGCTGTTGCTATAATTACTAGGTCATCTCGTAGTCTATGTGGCTCTCTCYCCTGGGATGAAATTTTCTTCTTTGGAARTTCCATGCCCAACTGTTACCCTCATTCTGTCTGCCATCAAATAAATATATGCATATATTTGTGTATTGCGAAAAAGAAATGGCACAGCGCACAATTCCCCAATGGCGCGATCCCACAAATGATATATACATATATATATATATCTATATATGTATATAAGTATATATGTATGCTTTATGTATAGTATAAACAAACTTTGCTGGAATTGCAAAAATGAAAAAAAAAAAGGAAAAAATCAGTCAGAAATTTTGCAGTGGGCGTAACATATGTACGTATGTATATATATATATATGTATGTATAGATGTGAATGAATATGTGATAGTTCCATAGAATATGAAATGAACATGTTTAATTTCTTGATTCGCTTTCGCTGCTGACGTCAGCGTTTAGTTGTGCTGGAGGCCCCCTCACCCCGCATCTTGAGCCTATTGCAAAAAGCAGAGCAAATCTGTATATCAGAGATAAACTATAAGATTCAAGGCAAATGTTTTAAAAATAAGCCGACGCATAGTATACACTGCATAACTATAAATTACAGGCTAAGAAGTCGCCAGCCATATAGCTGCAATAATTTGTTTGGTTTTTGTGTTGTTTTTTTTTTTTTTTTTTGTCAGTCTGAGATTTTGGCAGCTTTGCGTCGCAGTTGCAACGAGCCGTGTGGTGCGGCGCGAATCCAATTCACCACAGTCGCCTTTCGTGGGCGCTGTCAGCCAATTTGTTTATTGTGGGCGCCGTTATTCGGCACAGCACACGCACACACACACACACACACACACACACACACATTGAGCGTATATACTGTGTGCCTGTTTATATGTATGCTTTAAAAATTTTCATTTAATTTTTATAGAGATCAACGCTTTTGGCCAAATGCAAAATGATTTCATTGCTTTTAATTGCCTTTTTGACAAACCAAACATGATCTCATTGCAGCGAGCTGATTGAACAATTATCTCGATTCTTTCTATACAACTGCGTATCTATAGCATTATTGTTCGATTTCGAGTGGTGCACAACACCTGAACTCGGACGCTTCCTGCAATTTGGTTGCCCAAACAAAAGAAAATTTCCAGTTTCTTTATCAAATAAACAGCACGTCAGACGAATATTATGGGATTTACACCACCCGCCTTCTCACTCGGCCACTAGATTATTATTATTTAGTTGTTGTTGTTGTAGACTCCCGCGCCGGATACGCAGCGCACAGACATAGGCCGGATCGTACATCCGTGCGCCAAGCATAAATAAGTTTTTGTTTTTCGGCTTTGGGTTGGGTGTAAAATGAAAATTCGATTGCAAAAAAACCATAGAAAAGCACACAAAAACTGGCACAAATTGAAAAGCATTAGCCATTAGCCGTAGCCGAGCAACTCAACACACGGCCCCGTTGCCAGCGAACTCACCATGTGGTGAGATGCGCGCAGTCAACGCTCAACATATTTCAATATTGTTTTTAACGCATTTCAGTACGAAAACGGACGCGTTACGCTCACAATACCGCAAGCCTATCCAAACGACGCCGGATCCTACGTATTGAGTGCTAAGAACTTGGCTGGCGAAGCTTACAGCAGTTGCAACATTATTGTCAAGGGTCGTCTGCCGAACGAGACGTCCGATTCAGAGATGGCTAGCGATATCGAGCCCATCCGTCCGGCGGTGCATATTCCACTGAAGGACGTCTTCATATTCGAGGGCAAGCCAGTGCGCCTGGACTGCGTGATCGTGGGTCAGCCCGAGCCGGAGGTCATTTGGTATCACAACGAGCGACCCGTCAAGGAGTCGGCGGATGTGCAGCTCCTGTTCCAGGGCGATCGCTGCTCGCTCTTCATACAGGAGGTGTGCCAAGAGGATGGCGGCAGCTACAAGGTGGTTGCCATCAACTCAGCGGGCGAGGCCTCGAGCAGCTGTGAACTGAAGGTGACATCACTGAACACGTCGGACTCAGCGACGCGAGTGCAAGACGATCGTCAGTCCTTGCCCAGGGAGTCGCAGCCCAAGTTCGAGCGCCTGCTCTCGGATGTGCTCGCCGATGAGGGCGAGCAGGTGGTGCTGGAGGTGCACGTCAACGGCGACCAGCCATTGCGTGCTCAGTGGTATCTGACCAACAAGGAGCTGCAGCTGAACGAGCGCGTCACCACCCAATCCGATGCCGAGGCTGGCATATTCAAGCTAATTCTGAAGAATGTGGATGCCAGCGACAAAGGCGTCTACACGGTCAAGGTCTCGAACAAYGCGGGCGATGCCAAGTGTTTCTCGCATCTCATTGTCAAGTCCGTGAATGCCCCCGAGAACCGTCGCGGCAGTCAATCATCCGTGGAGATCGTCGAGCGACAGCTGTGCCCCGAGTTCAAAGAGCTCTTCAGCGACAAGCAGGCCCACATCGACGACGTGGTCAAGTTCGAGTGCATTGTGGTGGGCAAGCCAACGCCCAAGGTGCATTGGTTTTTCAACGACCAGCCGGTGCACGGCCACAACTTCCTCGTCTCCACCAGCGGCGATCGTCAGGTGCTGACCATTCAGCAGCTAACGCACGACGCCGTTGGCAAGATCAGCTGCACGGCCGAGAATGACGCAGGCAAAGCCACTTGTGTGGCCTTCCTGAATATCATTGGCAGCAGCCCAGTGCCCGCCTCCAGCAACTTGCAGACCATGACACAGGAGCACAACACCGAATCGTCCCGGGTGACCATCAAGAAGCAGACCTTCACCACCACCTCCACATCGCAGGTGAACTCRTATGAGGGCAACGTGCCGCAGACGGAGGTGCATCACTCGTCGGCCCACATTGATCAGTCGCTCAAGCAGCTGGGACAACAGCGGCCAGAGATCGTGGAGAGCCATCACTACCAGGAGCTGCACAAGAGCAAAGAGATGAGCAGTCCCTCGGTGCAGCARAAGTCCTTCACRCTCGTTCAGTCCACCAATGGCGGCGCTGCTGCTCCGGCCATCGGCATGCCCGAATCGCCAACAAGATTGCGCAAGGAGATAGCRCCACGTTTCACCACTCCCCTRACRGGCAAGATTGTGGACCAGGGCGCCAATGTGAGYATGGAGGCCATCTACGATGGCTATCCCTCGCCCGAGATCAAGGTGGAGAAGAATGGCGATCAACTGTTCGATAATGCGCACACCAAGATATCCAACAAACACAATCGCGTGACTATTGAGCTGAAGGAGGTGGGCGTGGCCGATGCGGGACGCTATGCGGTGACAGCATCYAATACGGTGGGTCAGTCAACAAGCACAGCGGATCTGGTGGTGAAAAGTAAGTAAATGTTATGCTAAGCAGTTTTAATGGGAGCTATGTTAAGTTAATGTTACCTATAGCTGTTAGGCTAGAACATGGCACATTAAAGTTAACATAAAACTGTTAATTTACCGCTGTTAACTTGTATGCTCTGTGTTCTTGTTTACATTTAATGCTAACAAACGATTTTAATTAATTTCGAAATCCTAATGAGCTAGCGAATGTGYAGAACATAAAGAGATTGAGCCCACATATGGGTCACATCGCATGTCAATACTCCGTACGTCCGTCCATGCGCCACATCAATCAGCGGGGAGCATTAAAGTGTCATTGTCGGGGGCGTCAATAGATCTCGAAACGTCAATGCCGCCCGTTTCGCATATTGATGAGTTTTTAGTGGCATCGCTGTTTTTGTTTATATTCAAATGATTTTTCTAGCCCGCAGGCGAAAATTTTTTTTGTTATTTGCTTCTTACACAGAAATTCTAAATAATTTTTCAGCTTTTTTCTGGTGGGTGGGTGGGTTTTGTGGGCCGGGTTGGGGGCATGAAGTGGGCAATAATTATGTAAATTTATCTTGAACACAAGTTTTTGCTGGCGGACTTGTCGTCTTGTGCGGTTGAAATGTGTTTGAAATAATGAAAGAAAAGAAAACGCGTATTTTTACTGCCTGTCTACACGAATTATTCATTATAGCTGATCATTTGGACGGCTGTGCAAGTGAATTATATTTGCGAGAGATCTTCTGAGATCTCTGTTGCAATGACACACAAAAGCCAATATTTATTTTCATTGAATTGCTTTCTGTGTGTGTGTTGTGGCTTTCAAGTGAAAGTGGCCACAGCGAGCCGCAACATATGCTGAACCCCAACGGATTCTTCTAATGAATATTCGGTTTCTTCTATCCGTGCAGAGACCATCTTTCCGCCAGTCTTCGGCCGTCGCTTGCAGGCGCAGGTTAGCAAGAAGGGCGAGCGATTGATTATGGAAGTGGAAGTAACTGGCCTGCCAGAGCCCACTGTCACCTGGCTAAAGGACGACAAGCCACTCAAGGATGCTGGCATCTCTGAGCACCGCCTGCTTGCCCAGGGCAACTCGTACAAGCTGATCATCGAGAAAGGTAATGAGATGAACTCTCCTTGCAATTAGATCTTCTATCTAGCCCCTCTTCCCCCGTGCAGCACAAACAACGGACTCTGGCAAGTATATGGTCAGAGCCACGAATGCTGGCGGCGAGGCCAAGAGCATTGCGGACTGCGCCATCTTGGAGCCGTCGCCGGAACGCATGCAGGAGGTGGTCAAGACCATCGTCTACGAGGCGCCGGCCAGTGAATTCAAAACTGAAGTAAGTGTGCATGTGCTCAATATATAAACACGATACTGCATTATCCATCCGATATTGTACTTATCATGACTCTGACTGCAACTCTATCGATCTATCTATCTATCGACCTATCTATCTATCTATCCTCCTATATATAACTTTATCGAACTGTCAATCTAAGCAATTCAATTCTTTACTATATACTATAATATTTCTTCGACTTGTTACGTTCTTGACATGATTTATATATTTGATATATATATACATTTATTTATTTATAATAAACAAATCTTGTGAATTTCTTCTCTCATTGAATTCGACGTTGTTCGTTTCGCTTTGCTCATTACACTCATGTGGTTCTCATGCAACTACATATATACACACATATATAAATATATACATATGTATTTGAATTGAATCGCCACCAACAACCAGAACCAGAGCCACTTCAACAAAGAGCCCCAATCATATCAGACCAATCAAACCGATGCAACCACAGCCAACGATCTGCATGGCCTGTCCGAGTCGAAAGTTATCACTGAGCATCGTTGCACCACCGAGGCAACGATGCGTCTAGAGCACAAATCGACATATAATGACCTGCCCGAGTTGAGTCTGCGACCAAAGACACCAACCACCTCCACCACCACCAACACCACCACCACTGACACCACTACCAACAACACTGCCAGCATGGACCAGACCGATACACAGACCAGTTATAAGACTGGCGTCACACAAACCCCGCCACCCGTGCCACCCAAGCCCTGTCCGCCCGTTGTGGGCACGGCTTTTGGCCAGCCGGCGCAGGCGCAGGCGCAGCCACAACCACAACAACCRCCGCAGATGCAGACGCAAATCAACACCAGATACGAGAGCAGCAGCAACGAGCACAAAATGTCTTCGTCCTTCGAGTACTTCAAGAAGATCGATGAGGAAACCGT